CTCCCACAAAATTCAAAATCCAGGTTTTCTTTGTGTTAAAATTAAATCAAAAGTACATCTTCACATTACTTTCAGCTGCCTGAAAACTGCTAAACACGTTCCCATCGCTTCCCAGAACTAGTTCTTCCTCCCACGGTTACAAAAAATCGACCAATCCAAGCTAAATGTTTGTCAACCTAATTATAATTTTCTCAGCAGGGGACCTGTTGCATCAGTTCATAACCCCCCCCCCCCCCACACACACACACACACACTTCATGTCTGCCTCTTAGCTATCATAAAATAATTTAATTTTGGGAGCAGAATTGACCAATGAAATTTTTCAGCAAATAATTCCTAGTAGATTTAACAAGGCAAAGGACACCTTTAAGAACACCTGTTTTTACATCGAGGGATGCCAGATAAATTGGTGGACGACATATTATCGGTCAATGAGTACAAACATTTAATTAATACATACATAATATTAATTATTATTCATAATAATTAGTTATTGTACGTCTGATCATTCACATTTTCTGAGGGGAAGGGGAGTTTTTATCTGTATGCTGCCTTTGTCCTGTCCACTGAAAACCGTGTATTTACAGATGTAGTGATTTTGAATGTTTTTGATAATTGGAAAAATGAAATGTCCTTTTATGGGTTGTGAAAATACTCTTCTTAAACTATATAAACTATTTAAAAAGCCTCTTTGATTAGCTGGATAATGCATTGTCACAAAGCTGAAAACAGGTCTGGTCTGTTTTTCGTGAAAAGTTGACTTTTACAAACATATGATGATCTCACAGAATATGATGCATTCCTGTAGTTTAAACTACCAACAGTATATAAAGAAGTTCAAATGAGCGCAGTTATAAACATCCACAGCAGTAAAATGCAACATACACATTAATGCAGCAACACTGACTGCATTTTAGGACATTTTGCTATAATAGTTTACTTTTACTTAAGTAGCTTAGTAAGGTTTAGAATGCAGAACTTTTACTTGTAGTGGGGTTGGTATTAGTACGTTTAAGTCAAGAACCTGAATACACTCACAGCCTAAGTGTCCTTATGGATAACTTGTATGTTTATCGGGTTTGTTGTGAACTTGTGAGAGAAGTGGGGTTGTGTATTGGCAAGAATCTGGCAATATGATACGGTGGGTACGATTCAGTATATTGTGATATCTTGGAATACTACTAATATTTTGTTCTGTAAATCAATTTTTATTTTTATTTTTTTTTCCTCTCCTATCTTAAAATTTGTGATTTAAACAAGAACTTATAAGGAAGCAAATGATTCATATTTAATTATACGGTCACTCAGCGGGTCAGAATTATTTTTTATTTTTATACATATTCAGCATCATAAATAAAGAAAATAAAACACTTTCCTCCATATGGATCTCTTTCTCTTGGTCATTATTTTCACTGGAAAAATGAGCTACTTTACAAATGAACCCAGCACGCTGTTGTTGAATTGTTGCAGTTATAAGAATAAGAAATCAACGTGTGTTTCTAGCCTCTAACTAATGTGCTGGTATCTGTCTTTGTAGTGGGAAGAAGATGAATGGATCTTTGGACCACCCCGACCAACCAGATGTTGATGCCATTAAGATGTTTGTGGGACAGATCCCGCGGTCCTGGTCTGAGGAGCAGCTTCGTGAGCTATTTGAACCTTACGGAGCAGTCTATGAGATTAATGTTCTCCGAGACCGCAGCCAGAATCCACCACAGAGCAAAGGTCAGCCTAACACACGCACACACACACACACACACACAATAGTATTTCATTGGAGTAGTAGTCATGGGATTCACTTGCTTGCTTTTAAGAAAATTAAAAAAAATATATTGTGGCCCCACAGAAACTAGATGGATTTGGCTAACATGACATTATAGTGTATTATTATTCTGGCAGTAATGACTGTACATAATTAATCATTTTTTGGATTGATACTGGCCTAGTGGTGGTACTGCTGTGCATACCCTCCATGTAGCAGATATTTGAGCTTACACACCAAATCCAGTAACTGAGTCTGGTGTGTGATACTGGTGTGTCTTTCATTCCCCCGACAGGCTGCTGTTTTATAACGTACTATACTCGCAAATCAGCCTTGGAAGCACAGAATGCTCTGCACAACATGAAGATTCTTCCAGGGGTAGGTGATGACAGTCTCCTTTAACTGCCCCCCCAGTGTATGCTGGTTCATATGGAAACCTTGGACTTCCTCTCTGCAGCTTCAGCGTAGAGCTTGGTTCAGTGTTCGAGTGTGCACATGAACAGAGCATCAAAATAACAGGGCTGTCTGTCTTCTGAACTGCGGGAGCTGATTCAGCAACCAGGTCTATTGTTCGGGGTTAAAGCACCAACAGTGTTGGGAACCTATTGTTTTTGTTTTTTGTTTGTCTTTTAAGCTTATTTAAGGGATTTTTTTCCTTTATTTGATAGTGACAGGTGAAGAGGCGGACAGGAAACAGGAGAGGGGTATGACATGCAACAAAGGTTGTTGGTAGTTGCGGCCATGCAGCAAAAAAAATTACTTTTCTTGGTTAACTTTTACACACTGCTCACTAGTTCAGTGGTTCCCAACCTATGTCAGGGACAAGAAAACACTGAATTTGTCTAAAAGAAGCCTGGTTGGTCTGTATGATTGTTAAATAAATATATAAAACAGACAGGTAATTGTATAAAGTTCCCTAAACAGAAAATAATCTGCTCAAAATCTATCCAAATCACTTGTTTTACACAAATTTCCTGCAGTTAGTGAGTTCATTATACAGTTTTGAATATTATATGAAATATCCATAAAATGTAATTTGTTTACGGGTCTTAAGTTTACTAAATGATAGGAAAGGGGTCCCTTAAAGGGGAACTTGGCAACTTTTTCAGTTTAATAAACC